CGGCGCGGTATCGGGTTGTTGTTGTTGTTGCTGTTGTTGTTGTTGCTGATGGTGGTGGTGATGGTGGTCTCCGCCGCCGCCGCCGCCGCCGCCCCACACGTGTTGAGCTGTGGCCCGGTAGAGGGCACACAGAGCATCGAAGTCTGTGGGGAAGAAGATGTCGGCTGTGCCCCACGGCACGAACAACGTGTCGTGGTCGATGTTGCGGCCACCCGCCTTGAATTGCGCGTCGTCATCGGGAAGGATCAGGGGTCAGGGTTCAGGGGTCAGGGAGGGGGGGATGCCGGAATTCCGCAATAAGGCCCTTCAGCTTGTGAGGAGGGGGGGAAAGGCTTAGGCGGGGCGGGCGACCCGCACCAGCATCCTCAAAAAAGAGCGAAACCACGCAAACACGCAACACTGTGCGATTATCGAACGAGCATAACCAGCCCGCCTGACGCAGCTAGATATACGTACTGACATGCATACAGACGCACAGACAAACGCAATACGCGTATATAATACAATGCATAAATATATATGCATATTTAATTATATGTGCACGCACTGCTACGTGCACAGTGGCACGGCCGCAATCCCCCACCTCTCCGCCACCTCACCCCCCCATCACCACTACGCAGGTCGCCTGAGGCTGCTCTACCCCCCCCCCCCTTCCCCCTCTTTCCCCCCCCACACGCACATGACTCCAGATCCTGCCATTACCCCTCTTCCCCCCACACACATACATGCACACACACCGAATTTCCCTGTCATGGTAACCACCTCAAGGTGTAAACACACACACACACGCACGCGCACACACACACTCACTCCGAACCTACCCCCCCATCCCGCACACTCCTAGCTTCCCAGGCCGGTATCCCCAGACATGCGGCTCATGTGTCCACCACCCCCACCCCCACCATCACCACCCCCACCACCACCATCACCACCACCATCACCACCACCATCACCACCCCCACCCCCACCTTCTGTGCCACCAGCGGTGCGTTCCGTCCGGGCAACTTGACATCCGGCAGCTTGTCAAAGTCCGCCGCTATGAGGGAGTGGTTCGGCCTCAGGGTGTGCAGCAGCTCCAGGAAGGCCGCGCAGGCGGTGGGCAGCCACAGGACTTCATCGCGACTGGATGGCTGCGAGTCTGGGGAGGAAGGGAGGGGGAGAAGGTGGAGGGTAAAATGATATGCACGTACATAGATTCATACATGTGCCAAAGGGAGGAGGGGGCCGCCAGGAGGCAGGTGACGGCCGGCGAAGTCGTGTGCGTGTGTGCGTGTGTATGTGTGTGTGTGCGTGTGTATGTGTGTGTGCGTGTGTATGTGTGTGCGTGTGTATGTGTGTGCGTGTGTATGTGTGTGCGTGTGTATGTGTGTGCGTGTGTATGTGTGTGCGTGTGTATGTGTGTGCGTGTGTATGTGTGTGCGTGTGTATGTGTGTGCGTGTGTATGTGTACGCGTATGTATGTACTTCATGCAGTGTGTGGGGAGGGGAATCAAATCAGGATGAAAGGCCCCGGGTTTGAGGGGAGGGGCAAGCCCTAATGAATGGACGAACCGCCCGAGACGCAATAATGTGAGTGCGCCGCCCTCTCCCCCCCCCTCAACCCTCAACCCATGTCCCCACCCCGGGCGAGTATGAAGTCCAGCACCCGGTTGAATCGCTCGTCCAACTGCTGCTCCCGGGAGGGGGTCCGGTACACCGCCGCCAGTGTACGGCACAGCAGCGGGTCGGCGAGGGGCTCCCCCGCCATCTCCCAGGGCCCGCGCTCCAGACTGGCGGCCCCATGGGAGGTGGAGGTGGAGGATGTGGCCGGGCGTGAGGCGGTTGCGGTGGTAGCAGTTGTCGTACCCACGGGGCGTACGACGCTCTGCTGCCAGGGGTCGCTCGGACGACGGCGGAAAACCCTGAGGAGCCGCGGGGGATCGCCGTACCCAGCCCGCAGCGGGGTTCAGGTTTTCCCCCCCGGGTAAAACACCGGGAGAGGAGTTGTGGGGTTTTAGGGTTTTAGGGCTTCATTCAGAAAAATGGCGCAGGGGCCCGGGGGGGGATGTCGGGAACAGAGGCATCCGATACATTCCGTACGGGCATGAACGGATACAGACAGACACTTCTGTAATACAGCTGGACAGCAGTACGACACGGTACGGCACCTGTCGTGCGGGAGGTTATCCAGCACCTCCATCATCAGCACGAACGTGTGTTCCCAGCGCCGTTCGGAGCCCCACGTGGCGGGATCCAACCCACTGCCGCGACGGAGGTGGAATCGACCGCCGTGACCGCCTTGCCGTACAACCTTGTCGTACTGCCGTGCAGCGAGGCTGGTGGAGATTTCCAGACACGTGTATGACGTCAGACGGTAGTCTTGTGGCCGATTGTCCCGGAGCCAGTCCTGAGTGGCAACAGCGGACCAAGCGGGGTTACGGAGGTTGAGGGGGAGGGGGGTGAGGGCGGGGGTGAGGGCAGGGGGGAGGGGGAGGGGGGGAAAGGAGGAGAAGATGAAAAGAGATAGGGGACAAGGGCGCAAGGGAGAGATGGAGAGCCGGGGGGTTAGGAAATGTTACGTGAGGTGGAGTGGGCCGTCAGCGCTGTGTGTGTGTGCTTGTTTGTATCTTAGGAGCGTTACAAGTATCTGACCGGGCCTGACGACACTGGCCACAGAGGGGCTGCTGGCCAGCCCCAGTGGAAAGACCGCCTAAGCTCTCTCCCGCGGACGGGAGAGGGGCGCGAGGAGGGCCTCTGTCCCCCCTCCTAAGCAACCGAGAGCCGCAGGTCCGCTAGCTCCGCTCTCCCTCTCCCGGGGGGGGGAAGGTGTCGCACGCGCGCACGCTCTCACAAGTCGCGAGGCTCCGTCACGCGAGTTTCGTGCACATAGCCTGGTACACGCAACAAGACTCCCCTCTCCTCATCCCCGGCCTGATCCGGCCTTCAGGGTGGGGTCCACTAGGACAGAGGAAACCCGGAAACCCCGTGGAGACCCTAAACCCCCAACACTAAGGCACGAGGCCCTGTTAGAAAGCTCACCCGGTCTCTCACACGATTCTCCGTTGCGGGGGGGGACGGGCAGGTGTTCAAGAAACTCGCGCAAACCGCCCTCCCCTCCCCCTCCTCCCCTCCCCCTCCTCCCCTCCCCCTCCTCCCCTCCCCCTCCTCCCCTCCCCCTCCTCCCCTCCCCCTCCTCCCCTCCCCCTCCTCCCCTCCCCCTCATCCAGCGTACCAAGATGTCCCTGGCCAGTGTGCCGTTACCTCCGCCCACCTCCATAATCAGCAGCGGCTGGCCCTCCATGGCCAGGTGGTGCCTGATAAGGATTGTACGGCGAACAAGACGATGACGAAAACGGTTGCGGAGCAAGGCCAGGATTAGGACAAACACGCGAGTAGGGGTCAGACAGGCAGTTCAAGGCAGCGCCGCACCACAGTACGGCACCCCGCCGCGCAGGTCCACACGGCGCTTAAGATGACTTACAAATGCACAGCAGTATGGCAACCCGCCCAGTCCCGCACGGCATTACATGGCCGATGTCGTACCGCATAATATGACATGGCGCCGCATGGAGAGGGAATGGTGGGGGAGAGACGGGGGGAGAGAGGGAGGGGGAGAGAGAGGGGGAGGAGAGAGGAGAGCTGCCTGCCCGGCTAACTAACTACGGAACGGCGTGATGAAGCGAGACGGATCAACCCACCCCCTACCGACCCCCTGCAGCCGCAGACCAAGGTGCATTTTCACTTCCCCACACACACGCCTTCTGTGTGCCCGGCCTATTCTCTTGGCCAGATCCCCTCCCCTCCCCTGCCTTTTCCCAGCCCCTCCCCTCCTTTCCCCTCCTTTCCCCTCCCCTCCCCTGCCTTTTCCCAGCCCCTCCCCTCCTTTCCCCTCCTTTCCCCTTCCCTCCCCTCCACCCCTCCCTCCCATTTCCCAGCCCCTGCCCCACACCATCCACATCTACCTGCGATGCTCCACCATGTGCCGGGCAATG